GTGTTAAATTGTGAACCATTATTTATCTGTTGTGGGGAGGTAATTATAATAAATGTTTGGTTTTATTGTGAGTATTTCTATCACAGTAAAACTAAATCTCAAAAACTAAAGACGGTTGCTGCATCCAAGAAACTATCATTAACAATTCTAAATATTTAAATGTAGTAAAAAGTTAGACTAAAATATTTCAAAAATGACATCATGTGATGTGTATGTATTTGTTAAGAAATAACTYAAACTATTGTTCTTGATTAATGTACACCCAATGTCAAGACACAAACATGTTTTGTAAAATTATAAACAAAATGCCTCAGTTTAGAATATCTACTGTGACAAGTTCTTTTTATTTCTTTTTTCTTTTTTTTAGTTTGTTTTTTTGTTATGAGATGCTAGTCTAAAACTAATATATGCATCCTTGATGTCGCCAAAGCTAAATGAGATTAGATTAGATTAGATTAGATACGTAGACCTTTAATGTCACTGTTCATTGTAAATTAATAACTGAATTCAGTGAATTAGGAAAAAGCTTCAGAAATGTTTCATTTTGAAAATCATCGAAATTTGCACAAGTTAGTTTTTTTTCAACCAGCTAATGTTCAATAAGTTTAATTAAGTTTATTTGTTAGCCTGACATTTTCCTTTCCAAGGTCATTCATATCTGTTGAATGTGTTTCATAAAAATATTTGCATGTTCGAAAAGAACAAAATGAACCACTTATTAATTGGTTTATGCTTTTTCGTCATAATTTAATTATTTTTACCTTTGAGTAAACAGATAAGCTGTGCGTTCTAGTGTGACCATAGACTTTATCAGTGCTGACATTTTGACTTCTCTTGGAAAAGAAAAAGAAACATGTTTCGGTAACAATGGTTTTGTTCAATCAAGTGAAACATTAATCCAGCTTGCACAAACCTGCCATGTAGGGTCTTATCTGAAGTAAATAGCTGTCATTTTAAGGACTAATATTGTGTACCTCTGTGGAAAAATAAATTGTGAATGTAAACATAAGAGAAACTAATTATGTATGTGATTATGTGAAGCAAAACAACATTGTCTAATACTTTATAATGCAATACATTATTTGCAGCTTAGATTTCATGGTTTGATGGTGCTTTAGTTAAAATCAGCTTGAATACAAAATAAGTTGCAGCAGTAATATTCACATCATTATGGTACTCAGTAAATGACGGTTCTATTTAATGTACAACTTGTTAACACATAAAACAACTCATTGGTTTTCACACAAATGGTAAAAGAAGTAAGTGCAGGGAAGATATGCAGAAGTTAAAACTGTCTCAGACTTGTTACAACTCAGAAGATTTGCACCCAAATGCAAAATTAGGAATTCAAAAGGATGCAGATTCAACTAAATTATTAAATAAAATAATAAACAAAAGGTACTATTGAAGCAGGTAATTCAGAGAACAATACCTCGGGTGCAATGAACAGCAATGAAGCTGTTTATATGCTGAAAAGCTTAATTCTAAATTCAAGACAGGTGGACTAATAAAGTAATTAGGACCAGATGTGTGAAAGATGCAAAAGGCTAACTATCTTAGGTTTTTCAAAATAAAACAGGAAGTAAAATTAACCATAAAACAAAGCATAGCGCCAAACACAAACTAAACCAAAGAATAACAGAACCAACGTTTGTTTACATCATGACAAAATGCTCTTGCTCAGTGTTGAAAATGCTCATAAACCTTGTTTATTGATCCGCTTTGATCTGATAAAGCTGTTCATTTTTCCCAGGTGACCATTGCTGTGGGTTTAGCAGGCTTCGCTTGTGTCCTCCTTCTTGTCCTGTTTGTGGTCATCAACAAATACGGCCGGCGTTCAAAGTTTGGTATGAAAGGTAAGGCTACACAATGTTTAAACCAGAATGTGTGTGTGTGTGTGTGTGTGTGTGTGTGTGTGTGTGTGTGTGCATGAGCTATCATGGTTAAAATTTTAGTGAATAACCCATGGATTTTACTGCATATAAATCATTGAATAATTTCAGCCATTTTATTCTTTTTGACTTATTGCATATTTTAAAAAAAACGTCATTTATAGTTTACAGTTTAGTGCATTTATGGATAAAATGTGGCGTAAATTCCTAAATTAGCTTTAAGGCAATCTTCATTATTGTAGTGGTTAAAGACAAAGTCYAAAATAGATAAATTAAACATCTAAATATACATTTATCACTTAAGAGGTTGAACATTTCTGTGCCAGTGTTTGTGCTGTCAGAACAACAACATGATTACATGCTTCAGTGAGAAAAATTCTCTACATTTTCCACCTTTTCACCGAGAGTGGATATCTAAATACATTAACAAGTGTGAGTTTACAAAAAAATTGATTGAATATGCTGACAGTGCAAGGAGCCTGTTCAAGTATGCTWGTGATGTTGCAAACTGGTGAGAAAAATCCCAGACAGTGGCTTCATATTGGTACATGGCTTAGATATGTGTTTTCGTAGATTTGACACAATACAGTATACTGTATATTACTCTGATGTTACATGAAACATCCTGAAACAATCAATAGGCTCAGCTCTGTTGACAATGCTGAGAATTTCAATGGGATTAAAGTGACTTTTTGTGCATGCTGAGCATTTATTCTGGATCTGCTCCAGGTTTTCTTATCTCTTTGCTGTCAGTGTTTTAGCAGGAGGGGAAGTTGTAGTCATGCTGATTTAAACAAAGAGCAGGGCAGAGGGGAGACAGTTTCCCAGGTTTTAGGGGTTCAGGTTGAGGAATTTGCAAACCTGGACACTGAATTCAGGTTTTGACAGGTCAGAGGGCTAAGACATCATTTATTGGTGTTGTGTGATCTGCAACGAGAAACGAACTACAAGTTTGTGTTTAATACACGTCCTTTTGTTAGTTTGGGCAGGTTCCAGCTGAAGGTCTTGCTTCAATAYCCCTTCTTGCATAACTCTGGTTTTTATTTTTGGTATAATTGTTATATTTGTCAGGTTTCTAATATTATGATACCCCTAAACAATGCATGTTCATTATTTAACGCTTTAGGTATAGTGTAAAATTGCTTAAACTGCTTCTGTCTATTAATTAGTTGTTTTAGGGATCAGATAATGTTATTTACCTCAGCAGCAAACTCTCTGCTGACATAATTTGGAGATGCCAATTATACCATTGGCCTAAAGCTGGATCTAATCAAGGATGAGTCTTAATGAGGCTTCACAGACCTGTTTATAATTCCACATTAATTTTTAGCTGTGCTACTAATCTGATTCCTTAAAAAAAAGAGAAACACACATCAGTTACACAATTTGGAGGGGAAAAAAGCAAATAATAAGAACAGGATGTTTCAAACTACAGATCAGATACAGTTTGTGTTTAAGTTGATTGAAGGCACCAAGACTTCCCATAAATGACATCTGCTAGCTAATGATGAAACTGCCGCACCTTATGTTTGTCATTTCTTTTTATTTTCAAGCACCTTTATTTGGTTTATGTGACTGGATTCAATGCAGCAGAAAAGATTTGTTTCCATCTGTTGCGAGTTTTATTTAGTTCACCCCCCAGTATACGCAGCATCAGAGAATCAATATAAATCTGGCTGTAAAACTCAGTCTGTCAGGAGTCTGCATGACTATGTTGCCTTAGTCTTTTCCCAGTTGCTATCAAAATCAAAGGAAAAGTGCTGTATCACATCTGTATCTCCACTGAAAATGTAGCTTTTTTTGTGCACGGAGCCATTGCTGTTGGGTCAAGTCTTAGAAAAAAAAAAGCACATCGAATGCAGTTTCTCCACAAAAGTATGCGAAGAATGCAATTTTTCTGCTTTATGACAAGTTCCAAAGTTGTTTTGGGCACTGCTATGTGCTTTTGCATTTTTGCAGTGCAGTATTTTATAACTTTTTCCATATAATTCTGAGTTAAGGTTATTCACTTTGTTCAAAGGCGCATTATCTTTTTTAGTTAAGATGCTTGAAAAGCTGTTGCCTTTTTTCTGGATGTATTCAAAAGTAGTTTGTGCCCTGCTTCTTTATTCAGTATGATAAACAGCTTGATGCTGTAAAGATGCACAAAAAAGAGACACCCATAGCCTCAGGTAATCACCAGCACGAATCGTCAAAACCAGAAAAATGCACCAGTTTTTACATAAATGTCAATGTTATTTTTGAGTTTGCGCACTCTGTTGTGCAGAAGATGAAAATTCAATAGTTCTCGGTTTTATTGCTGCAATAATGCTCAGTTTTATGGCAGAAGGTTTTGATAAACAAGTACCAAATCAATATTATTGCCTCGGTGGTTCATAATCTGCTGTCCGGTTGTAGTTTGTATGCCAGACGGCGGCTGTGTCAGCCAGCTCTCTTTATATAGAGATGCTTCTGTCTTCACTGCCACTGAGAAAGATTCGGGGGGAATAAAAGACCTAAAGAGAGGAGGTGATGTCAGGGTAGACTCTTTCAGGACCCCACAGTGTTCTGAACAAAGGCCTGATTTGTCCACTGTGTGTGTTTTCTCCTTCCACTCTTGTTCTGAAGAATCAGCTGGGAGGCTTGAAAAAGTCATTACCTTTGGATGGAGCCATAATGGATTTTCGCTCCACTAAATCACCGTGGCTATTTTGGTTGTTGGAGTTTGATCACCGACCGTTTCTGGGCATCCAATAAAAAAAAGAGAAAAAATGTATCTTTTATTTCTTTATTTTTCTCCTTTTCTTGTGGCAGTGTGTGTGGGCGTGTGTTTGTGAGGTGTGTTCGGTTGGTTTTGCCGTATTTCAAGGCCCCGCTGGCAGCTCCATCCTCTGCCTTCCCGCATTTATAGCCGCTTCGTTTATGTGGAGCCGCTTCGTTTTATCTTGTCGTTTTATGAAAGAAAGTAAATCTRCTCATCCTGTAGATAAGCTGTTGTTCTGATCAATATGTTGTCGCCTCACCTCTCAGCTAAAATATCTGACGAGTCAAAGCATCAGGCTCATCTTTCAAATGATGATTCACACCAGTGGGCTTTGAAGTGTCTTTCCCACAGATTTTTTGTCAGCGGGGAATCAATAATGCTTCTTTAGAAAAYGACACTCAGTATGTCAGTAATAAGTATTGTCCTCCCCGTCATCTTTTCTTAATAGTCTGTTGGAAAATTACCTCAGCCCTGTATGCAAGAAGAAAAGTACACCACATTGTTTCATCTTAGCAGCTGTTTTATTCCACTGGGAGAAAAAAAATGCCCAGAAAATATTCCCAGGTCAAACATCTCATTCAGTCATAGGTTCAGAATGAGTGCAGCAGAAAGAAGTGTGTTAAGTGACTGCACCACTATAAAACTCTGCGAACACAACAATTAAATGGAATTTAGCTTCTCTTTTGCATGGCTGCATTAACTTTAAAGGAGTTTCATTATAATCATCTTACAATCATTTAGAATTCATAACTGCAAATAAATGTTAAAATAGCTCTATGCCAGAGAGCCTTGATGAATTAAATGGTCTCCATTTAAAATGCACCTTTGGCTCTTGTTTACCACTCAAAGCACTTTACTGAAAAAAGGCACAATTATATGTCAAATGTACATCCTATACATTTATCACTCAGCTCTGTTTCACATTACTGAACACAGTCAGAGCAATCATTGTCAGAACTTGATACCTGTCTATTTTCCGATCCGTCATTCTCAAATTACATTGTCATTATTACGCAAATTACTCATAATATAACAACACTTTTAACTAATTCCAATGGTCTCAGGAGTGTTTTTATGTATTTTTTTTTAGAATTGGCTTCACATTGTGCTGCATTCTGATTATATCTGAGCCTCTTCCGCAGCAAGTTGTTGGCAGCTGCCGTATGTTTACATAAGAAGCAGATGATGCAGGCGCTATTTTTGACTACGTTTTACCACCGCATTTTGACTGAACATACAGTATAGAGTAAACAAGCATATCAGGAGGAAGAAGCAGATGATGGAAAAGGAGATAAAGTTCTAAGATAAAGACTGATGATGTGCTATTTCTAGTTCATTCCTATGTAGTAAAGGGAATTGTATTACAGCATTTTTATTGCATCTTACAAAAATGATTTTCAAATGATTAATCTTCAGTATCCAGTAAACTTGTTATCACAGAAAATAGCTTTCTGTCTCCCCAAAACTGAGGCACATCCCATGCCGTGTGTTCTGTTATAAAATTTTCTAACTTGTTTGTTTAAAATCGTTCTCCATTTTCCTGTTATAGACATGTGTTGCTGTTTCTAGTTTGGATGATTACTACTTCTACTGAATCACAACCATGACCAGAGTTACCTGGCTTCTTCAAGGTCAGATGGAGTAGCGTTAAAGGGATCTGGCACTGTGACACATGTGAGGCAATGTGTGTAAAATCTCATCACATTTAATCAAATTTAGCACAGAGCCATTAGGTTAATGCACAGTCACAAACAGCACACTGGAAGAATCAAACTCATTAGAACTGTGACCTAATTAACCTTTTTTTTTTCAGYTGTGGGTTCAGACGTTCAACCAGACAGGTAGACAAATCTCAGAAATGCCCAGTAGCTTTCTGCAGCACACATATAGTATCCGCACAGACTCTACCCTGCAGCAGCCAGCCAACCTCTGTGATCTAGATGTGAGTGTCAAGCCGACTTACCCTCCTCTCCGCTACATTAGCTTAACCAGGCCTGGGGATGATCAGCCCCCCACACACACAGACATACACACAGAGAGCAGCAGCATTTCCTGCATCACTGCCTCACTTGGCCTCCAGTGGCCAGGGTGAGTTCTGCCGCCAAGCCATGAGACATGTCTGTCTGGAGAGACATCCACTCCTGCCATATGTCTGAGAAAATGTCAAGCAAACTGCCAGGAAAATAGCTTTCAGTAAAAAAAAAAGTATTGCTCTAATTTT